ACTTACCAACACGTGTGGCTTCTATGCTACAATACAAATACCCATTAAAAAGGTCAGTGTTTCAGGAATTTTCTTGAAAACCTTGAGGTCTAAAAACGTCGAGTCTAACTTTGGTTATTTTCCAGAGTTGCATGACTGAGAAACGGAAGAGTCTCCGAGTGTCTCCTCAGCTGTGGTTTGTGTGTTTTGACCTTGTTGAGAGTCTTTCCACTCCCTGTATCCACTCCTAGTCAGCCCGGCAAAGACCAGCCCCTATCGCTCACTACCGCACCCTCTGATTGGCTCTTCGAAAGGAGTCCCGCCCAGAAATGGGCCAAAGCCGACTGTCATTTGACGCTGCGACCGTCAATCATGATGCCCTTTCAGAAGTCATGGTATTTTGTAAAACAGCGTTTCATCAAAACATTGAAAAAATAATTTTAATTAAATCGTGAACTGCCACACAAAAAGCTTTATATCCGACATGATTAATTAAAAACATGAATTATATCTGGTTCAAAACGCCGCTACTTGTTTTCGTAATTACCCCTAGTAGCATGTAGGCTAGGGGCTAAATGGGTGGTAATTAGCCCCAAACGAATCAAATTACATGATCTTAATTCACCGTCTTAGTCCAAAAAGAGCGCGCGTAGTACAAACGACTGACGAAATGACTTAAGCAGGCGTTACCACATTGTCCCGGCTGAGCTACTTCACCTTACTTTAACTAGTCGGTGTTAGCACGCCGCTAATGCTAACCAGGCGCTACCAGTGTCTCTGCTTCTCAAAAAAGATTTTCTTTTCGAAACTCAAGCACTTCGCCGTAGCAGAATTTCCCCGAAGACGCTGCCACAAGTTCCAGTCACTAACCTCGATAAAGCGTTGCGGCGGCGGCGGCTCCTTATTCAGCCTGTAAGCCGGATGCCCTTCGCCTCTCCCGGTGAAGAGATGACAACTGTAGCCGCGTAGCCTTGAAGCGAGGCCTGCGTGGAAGTGACGCAGCTGTCGTGACGTCACACCCCACAACAAGAGAGCGGATCCTACTGTTTTACTAAGATTATTACATACACTAATAATAATAACAGTAGTAATAAATGCTTATTTTCCTATAATATAAGGGATTTTAACGTGTTTTGCACGTTGTAGAAATGCGTATTTAATACTTTATTACTTACATATTTTAAAAAATAACAAACGAAATAAGAACAAACATAAAATACGCTCACAGACGTACAAAACGTGCGCACGTACATTAAGAAATTAGTTCCAAATTAGACCAAGCTTTTCCCTGACACCGAGAGAGTTTATTTTAAATTGAAATAAAATAAAGTTAAAATAAAACTGTGTAGTTTAGTTGGTTAGGGAACTCGGTCTTATGCAGTTCGTCTGTAACCCGAAGCTCTGTTGAACTTTGGCCTCAGCTGCTCCTCTAACTTTAAATAACTTCTTTAAAAAAAGTGACGTATACAAAAGCATCAAGCGCCACTTAGTGTCATTATCTCTGAACAAAAGTAACACGTTGACTTTTTTTCAGAGTGTACTTTCGAGACTTCGTAGGAAAACACAGTTTACAGAGTCAAAGTTCTTCTTGAAGGAGATAAGCCTGGATAATAACTGTCCTCTGGGTCTAAAACGAGACGTTTTTATAGTAAAGTCAGTCAACGTGTGAACTTTGGGTTGTTATACAAGCTCACGATAATAACTAATTGATTTAAAAAAAACATTTTATTGACACGTTCATACCATCTGAGTAAGAAAGTACGAAACTACCGATTGATATCTTCAAGGAACGTGACGTTTTATTTGTAATAATATATGAATTTTTATATCAACAACGCAGTCGAACGTTGTCACTTAGTTTCTACGGCAGGATTCACGAGAGCTCGGAAGGTGCTTTGCTCCTATTAATCAGCAGAGGGCAGCAAACACTATGGAACACAGGCTTAAAGTTTAAACGGACATGGGGGAAAACTAAATAAATAAACGTTTCTGGTGCTCACCTGAAACATACAGGTCTATATATTTACATGCAGTTAGTAACTAAATAAACTAGTTTATGAAAGGGAAGTATTAGAAATGACTATTTGCTTTACGTAAATTTAAATGAATGTATGAATATTAAGTTTCTCTGACTTTCAAATAATTTTGATTTTCAAAGAATTTTGGCTATAATCTCAAGTCGTGTGTTCTGATGATTTAATTCACACTCCACACTCTCTCTGCTGTCAACTCTCTCTGCCTGACTTTGCTGCGTCCTCTGTGACCTTCTGACCTCAGCACCTCAGTAATGTAATTCTGATCTGCTGTCCCCGTTTCTCCCTTCCTCTCTGCCAAGGCACGTCCTCTGATTTTGTTTTCTTTGCCCTTCACTCTGAAGCGCCTGTCACTGGTTATGCTAATATCTCGTACAATATGCTAATGCTTGGTCGTGAATATTCATTGAATAAAAGTTGCTGGGGACTGGGATTTGTTTTTGTTTTTTGTGGGCTCTAGATCAGGTTGGTGCAACGAAATGACTTATTTGTGAGGCAACCATATTCTCCTGGACGTTCTTTTCAGATCAAAAACATATGTGACTGACTCGTCCAATCAGCTAGTACATTTGTTAATGATTATAACAGCAGATATGGTGCAATAGGAGGCAACAATCATGTAGCTTCCCTGGGACTCGAGCCCAGAACCTTCTGCACGTAAGGGGAAGTCGACACAGGCATGATAACTGCTATACCATGAAACCAAAAAAGTTTCCCTAACCGGGAATTGAATCCAGAACGCTGCGGTGAGAGCGCCGAATTATAGCTATCAGAACAGAACTTCCCAAAATGTAACCTCCCCGTCGGGGAATTGAACCCCGGTTTCCCGCGTGCAGTGTCATATCACGTGACTGTCAAATAGTGTTTCTTTTTTTTATTTAGCAGCATAGCCGGTAGGGCGCAATATGAAAACAATTTGCAATTTGATGTCATTCTGTAAGATGACGACAGTTTCTATTAATTCTAAATATTTACAGTATTTAATTAAACACTTTTCTGGTTCAGGCTCAAGAGCAAATCCAAGAAGAGGGAAGTAGTGGCCGGGTCGGGGGGTGGGAGGTGAGGGGCTAGTGCGGGTGGGGAGGACGTGGTGGAGGAGGAGCAAGAAGATGAACACTGGGAAATTTTTACTCCTCACTGAGAAACAAAAAGGTAAAAAAAATGGCTTAAAGGTGTCAAACATACGGCCCGTGGGCCCAAAACTGGTCCACAAACACTTCATGGTGTGAATATCTAAAAAGTCCAGTTCACAATCAAAAAATAAAAAAAAAGAACTTTATTGGTCCCATATTTGTGAAATTCTTGTGTTAACAGAACATATGCTGCCCCCTGCAGGCAGGTGTTTTTTTGGGAATCAAACTAAAGACTCTCTGCTTTCTGTTTTCAAGGCATGCGTGCCATCGTTACACTATGAAACTGACCAACTGGACTGAACCAGCTTCGGTTGGAATTTTTTTGTGTCCATCCTTTCATTACACATTGATGCACTGCCGCATTATTGTGTGTGTGAAACACAGTGTGGCTGATGAAGCTCACCAAAGCTGCGGCTCCTCTCTCCTCCTCCTCCACCCTCACATTTATGCATGATTTGCTGAAGTGATCGCACACTTTCCCAAACCGGCGGCCATCTGCATATGTGACCTTGGCCGTGACATCACTTCACAGCTTAATTAATTCATGGAAGTTTTTTTGTTGTTGTTGTTGTTTGCTGACAGAAATGTTGAAGAAGTCTTTGCCCAAAGGTGAAGCAAAAACATGGAAGAAAAAAAAACAAAACCCAACAACCCAAAACCAAATCTCGACGTGTGTGTGAGACGACCAAGTGCAGGAATGTCCTCTGATTTATGGGACTGTTTGAAACATCCTTTTTGGTGTTAGTGGGACTGGAGTGGTCTGAGATGGCGTTGGGAGATAAGTGCTGTCATGTGCTCTCAGGCATCATATCTAATAAAAGCCTCTTCATCGGAGATGCTCTCCACATGAAACGAGGTGGAACGTACCTTGAAAAAGCTTTTTTTTTTCTTTTTTTTTTCTAAAAGTGTTGTCTCTTCCTAAACCATAAACCAGAAATCTTTGTCTTTCATTATTGATAACACTGTTAGCTGGGCTTTGTGCAGTGTAGCAGCAGAAGGAGGTCACGGCGAGCTCCACCAGATGAAGGAACGCGGAGAGGACGCCGCACGGTGGTGGACGTGGTTGGAGTGCTTGCCTTACAAGAAGAACAGCATGGGTTTGATTCCTTGTGCTAGCTGCTAGCTGTCCTCCTGTAGGAAGTTGGCATGTTCTCCCTCCCTCCTCCCAGAGTCCAAAACCAAACAGTGTTAGCTTAGCTGTTAACTCTTAACTGACAGTAGGTGTGAATGTTAGTGTGAAAATGAAGGTTCCGAAACTGTTATTTCACCAGATTACATCTGACAACATAATCGTCATAGACCGGTGGCCCTCAACTAGTGACCTAGACCTAGTGTCCGTGTCTGGCCCACAAGTTGCTTATCTGCGGCCCGTGGACCGAGAACGTTTTCACTTTTCTACGATGTGTTTTCTCTACAAATAGCTCTGCAGAGAGTCAGCTGCGACTACGAAAAATGCAAAGTGACGACCCCCAGTTGTGACGAGGTGGCTGAGTGATTAGGGCGATGGACTGCTAATCCATTGTGCTCTCCACGCGTTCGAATCCCGTCGTTGTCTGGTGATATACCTTTAAATTTGGTCGCAAATTTAAAGGTATATCACCAGAGGAACTTCTTGTCAATATTATCTCCTAGAACATCTGTTTTTGTAGATCAGACAAACTGTTCACTTTTAATTGTCTGTTGGTGTGAATGTCAGCGTGAATTTGTTTTGGTTGTATTAATTATTAATTATTTTGACCATATCCGATCCGCCGATATTGTCCAAACACTTAATTTCCGATTCTGATATCAACCGATACTGATATTTTATTGTGTACTGTGGTGTACAATACAAATAATAGTTTCACTTTCACTTTCGCTTCAAAACTATTTTTAGGTGGCATCATCTGGGCGAAACCCAAAAATTGCAATATCGGGTTTTCATTATCGGAGGAAAAACCGATAACGATTCTTACCGATATCACATAATTAAGTCAATATCGGCCGATGATATCGGTTGGCCGATAGTATCGGACATCCCAAATTAAACCAAAAGTTTAAGGTCAAAAAGTTTAAAGACAAATTAGAACCATCAAGTCAAAATAAACTATTTATCATCAAACTTTGCAACTTTAACAGTTTTCTCTTCAAGTTTTATAAGGCTGAAATTGTTGATCAATGAAATTGTAACACAGCTCACACCTAAACGACGAAGACAATATCGACAATATTATCAAAGCTCTGAGAGACGCGTCTATAAAAAAATGACATCACCTTTCTGAATACTTTCTGACTCAGCCAGCTATATCTGGACGTACTGGACCGAAGCAGGTGCAGAAAAGAGGAGAAATCACCTCTAATGTCAGCGCTCATTAATAAAGGATCCCAGGTCTTGTCTTTGGAATCCCATCCTGCCTCCGTGTCTAAATAATTCACTCAGTATAAGCTCTTCTCTCTCTCCTCTTCCTCCATCTCAACCATCTTTTCCTGCTGCTTTCCTCAAGTGGAGCAAAGTTGGAAGAAGAAGTGAGTGGACTGTGAGAGGCTGACTGTGAACACGGACAGAACAACACATCAGGAACCACATGTTTAGCCTCAGAACGTGTGGTATAATGAGACATTTGTGTCGGCTGAGGTCGAGGCGGAAGGAACTTTTTCAAAACTAATGAGATTTAGTCCACGACCGCTGTTGTATGCTATATTTCTTTCTTTAACTTGAGTGAAAAATTTAAAAGTTAAAGAAAAAAAACATTCGATAATAATAAAATAATATTTAAGTCATTTTAATTGGATTAAAAACTGTGTTTGTTATTGTTTTCAGCAGCAGAAATGCTGCCCCTTACTTCTATTTTTCCCCAGGGCTGGAAATTGTGCTACATTTCCATCATTCTATTTAGCATTTAGCGATTTAAAAAATATATATAATTTACCCCATTTCATTGATAAATGACAGCTTTTGTTGTTTTTTTTTTTGTGTGTGTCATTAGCTTGCTTTAAAAAACAATTTAAATTTAAACTATTTAAATAATCCTAATTTGTTGTCCTCTGAGCCTAAACATCAATGGAAAAAAAGTAACAAAATATAACTTAACTCAATAATAAATATTTGTAATATAAAAAAATTATATAGAAAGCTAATAAGACAAAAAAACAAAAGCTGTCTTTTATCAGTATCTAATGAATTGCGGTGAATTATATACATTTTCTAAAAATTGCTAAATGCTAAAATGCTAAATAGAATGAAGGAAATGTAGCAGCGTGTTGTTTCCAGCCCTGCGTCACAGTTACAGCTTTATTTATAGTATTTTTTTATATCACAAGTTCCCTCTATACCGTTCTGTTATTTTTAAGTTATATTTTGTCACTTTTCCCAATTTATGTTTACGCGAGGACACCAAATTAGCCAGAGCCGGCTCTGGCACCGACCTGTACGCTGGTCAAAGCGCGCGGCCGTGACGCGCGTTCATGACACCGCATGAGCGCAGCATCCGAACAAAACTCACCGCCGCACCGACTGACAGAGACCGTCAGGGCAGCGGACGAGAACCCTCTGTTCACCGTTAACTGTGACGAGTGACGCCGAGAGGCGGGAACTGTTTTCAGGACGAAGTCACCAAACTTTAAAAGGAACCAGTGTCGGTTACTGGATATTACTGACGGTGATAAGAAGATATGGACGCGCTCTTAGAGGACGGGGAAGGAAAAGACGAATAAACCCGCGAACCAAAGTTGACTCCGAGCTCCTGAGAGAACATTCTGGGAGAACGTCGCATGTTCGCGGATGTTACCACGGTTAAATCACAGTGTTGACACCGACTCCCTTCACTCCTCTATGGGACAATCCAGAACTTAAAGTAGTGGGTAAGATGATGAGCTGTTTGTGTTTCCGTCCGTGAGAAAATTAAAAAAAAAAAAAAGTGTTAATGTTTTAAATCCTCAAATATTTTTTTGTATTCGTTCGTTTATCGGCTCGATTAGCACGATGCACGTTAAATGCTAAAATTCACCAACGTAGTAAAATTTCCAGACCTCAAATGAACGTATAATTAATCAAAAATACAGCAGCAGAGACAATAATAAATTCCTAATTCAACATTGAAACTTAAATGATCTTAATGGGAATGAGAGTCTCACTACTTGCCGACAGAGTGAACCCAAGAACCACAAGCTATCTTAATTTGAGAACCACCGAAATAAAAAAGAAAAAAAAAGAAAAAAGAAGAGAGAAATAAAAGCTGATGAGTGTTAAACAACCTTGTAGTAAAGAGTACGTAGTTATCCGCTCAGTACACTACGGGGTACTGCTTAGTATACTACGTGTATTTACTTTAAAATCACATAAAGAGATGACCTACTTTCTAAAATAAGTTTGGTAACGTATCAATTTGGAAAGTTTGAATTATAAAATATACATGTGTGTGTATATGTACATATATACATATATGTATGTATATGTATGTATATATGTCTGTATATTCATACATATATATGTGTACATATATGTATATATGTGTTCATATATATGAATATGTACATATATACATATATATGTAAATATATACATATATGCAGTATGTATATATATAGTCTGATCTATATATATATAGATTGGACGATTTATTTACGTGAAACCGAGCTTATCTGCCGACTGTTTTTACCTCCGCAAAGTCTGTCTGACAGCCCCGCCCACCAGGTTTATTTCGCTTATTACACATGAAAACACCTATATTGTTTCAATACCAGTTTCTCTATCGCCTTTATATATATATATATATATATGTATATATATATATATATACATATATGTATATGGTTTGATCTGTCCAATTTTGCAACAAAATCGACGACGTCGTGACTGCCTACAAGCTAGTTTTCGACTGGAAAAAGAAGCAGCGGAAGCTACTGTCGATCCCAATGTTTTTGCAGCCTCACAAAAAAAGAGCCGGTTCCTGCTACTACTACTACGGATACACCTTCGAAAACCGTGGGAGAGGTGCCCCAAGAACTGGCACCACCCTCTGGAGAGACGTAAAATCAATCATCGGCTGCGCAGTTAAAATCATCGTCACCTTCCTCGTCATCATTTTACTGCGCATAAATATGGTGTCGCTACTTCGCGGAAATTCAGTTCTCGTGGCAGGGCCTTGGAACCGATCTACCACGATAAACGAGGGACAACTGTATTTGCCGTACAGCGATTAAAAACAATTGTGAAGACATTTGAACAGTTTTACGCTTTTAACAAAATGACTGACTCTGTCTCTCGCTCACAGGCTGTTGATGGAGAGGCCTTCGAATGTCAGCCGGGACGGTGGTCATCGCAGGAGGAATTCTAGCTACAGTCATCTTACTGACCATAGTGGCTGTGCTGTGCTTATGTAGGTTACAGGTACGACCTTTGGCCCTTACTTCCTGTTCTAGTCAAGTTCCTCAACCAAAACTGCAGCTCTAGGATCCCGATATAATTACCGTATTTTCCGGAAAATACTTGTTTCATCCTTGAGATAGGTTTGCGACTTACTCAGGTGCGACTTATTTCTTAAAATATATAATTTCACATGTTTGTTATTTTCATACTGACAGCCACCAGAGGGCCCCCTAGGCTTGTGTACCAGCATCTGCTACTCTTGTACCAGTTAAGTTTTCTTTTCAAGTTGTTGAGAGTTTTGTTTTTGTTTTTCTCGCCCTTGTATTTTGATGACATCAGTATTACTGCTGTAAGAGAGAGGAGTCTGAGAAGGGGGACGAGGAGGAACCGGAGTTTGACACCATGTCGCCGTTCCACCCCCTGGCTCTGACAGCTCCCCCTACACCTCCCACGCCGGAGCACTACAGCGACGAGCCTGAGTCTTACCCTCCCACGTTCCTCACCGAAGCAAACGGGCCCACAGGGTACTCGCCTACGCCTCCCCCACGTAGGTGCCAGCGCTCGCACGCCTTCTGCCCGACCTGCGCCCGCTGCACGCTACCGTTCTATCTGCAGCACCCGAAGAGGATGTGCAACGGAGGGGGCGGGATCGGCTACAGGACTGTGCAGCAGCAGGACCTGGAACTGCCCAGGGATCTGACCAACTTTTATCAGAAGCTCAACCTCATCCACTCGCTGACCACGCGAGAGGTGGTGACCCACAGTGTGAGCACCGACGTGTAGGAGCAGCTGCCCCGACGGCAGTGCTGCCCGGAGGGCGAGCGGTGGCGACAGTGGACCGGTGATCTGAATTCTAAAGAGACACTGCACTGCAGTGAGAGGTCAACATACGTTTTAGCCATTTTAGACACAGTACTGACCAGTCCCGTGTAGTTTGGTGTTTCACTTACCGAGTACCTTAGGAGGATAAATACAGTATATTTGTATATATGTGTCAAACATCAATGAAAGTCTTATCTATTCAAGTAGAAAACCAGGTGCAGCATGAAAAACGTCGAAGACCAAATAAGTTTTCATTGTCGTCCGTTATTTCTTTTCAGGACTGGGGTCCAATGGGGGGGTTGGAGCCAATCACAACCATTTACACCTGGACAGTCTGACAGTATGTAGATAAACAACAGTTGACACTACCATTGCTTACAGTACTTACACTGGCAGAACAGGCAACCTGTTACTGCTGAGAATCAAACCAGTGACCTTCCTGCTATAAGGCAGGAGCACTAACCCTTCTTCCACCGTGTGACCTTAGACCAGTGGTTCTCAAGGAGGACAGAAATGTTTTTACGCCCCCCGCGAATTGAAACACTATTGAGAACATGAATATTTTTATCTGTACAAACCACTGTGTGAGTTGCTGCCACCTAGTGACTGGAGGCTTGTTATCGTTCAAGCTGCAATAGTGGGGCCCCTCCCCACTATTTGAGAAGTACAGTCTTACACCATGACCTAACCCACCTTCAACAATGCACAGTACATATAAAGGACCCCCAGTCAATCCATTAGTGACTACACATAAACACAAAGGACTAGCTGTTTTGGCGCCCCCTATCGTGACAGTTGTAATTGTTTTTTCTTTTTTTTCTACCTTACAATTAGTACTTAGTAGCAGTCACTCAGACACAGAATATATAACAAATGTATTGGACTACTAAGTGACTCACCTCCTGAGAATGAAACATCACGTACCACTAGAGGGCGCCCAAGGTGACAAGGTATGAACGCCACGAGAACGTTTGAGAACTACCGTGAATTATTCTACCGGAGTAAAATGTAAAAAAGTAATACGATGAAAATATTTGTCAGTCACCTGTGTTTGTACCTGTGGTCACTTCCTTCTGTCCTGACCGTTAACTGGGAAAAAACTGGGTGACGACATTTAAGAAAAACATGTTTCAGTGTGTGGAACACACAAAGGGCTTTTCTGAAGCATTCAGGGTTTCAGCAGAGACAACGCTCCTCCAATCGAAGGACGGGAAATTTAGGATGGTCCAATACACATGTACAGGTTTCTTTTTATAAACAACACTGTAATTTTAAAAATGACCTGTAGGGGGTTACTGTGTCACACATTCTGTTATGTAACCAATCTCTCTGTGTGTTGTGGTTTGAATTGAATCAAAGTGTTTCAGGTACTTGTGCTAGGGAGTTGCACGACATTGCTCGTGAGCACCTCAGCAGTGCCACCAAGTGGAGGAATACAGGTGTTGTTCAGGTCCTCTTGATTCTTTTCGTAAAATAGAAATGTTTGTACATGTGTTATGAAAAATAAACATCAGGTCATGTGACATCACATCACCCCATGTACATAGTAGTGTTTTGTTAAGATTAACTTTAGGCAAGTTGCTCACATAGCCCAAAAGGGGGCGCCAAATCCCGCTGCTGTCAGACCTACAATAGTTGTTGTGTGTTGGTATATGTATACTTGTGGGGAGATTTTACAGGTACCCAGTAGGGTTGGGATTAGTAATAAAGATTATGTTAAAAATAATTACATCAGAACCGATTTTTCAGTTTATTATAAACAGTACACGATTTCAATATTTTGTACAAAGAGGTATTAGTTATAGAAACAAAAAAAAAACAGTACAAAGTTGATAATCATGAGTCGTACATGTACACATGTGAATACATTTCATAATTCAAGTGTCAGGATTCCTAATACATTTGGTCAGACCGTCTCGTCCATTGTCTCTCCAATACGTGGACAAACACAAACACACCGCGTACGCACACACACACACCGCGTCTGGCCTCAGCTGAACCATTGAAGGACCATTTTCCAGCATCAGGAGCGTCAGGATTAAAATGAAAATGTGCTATGAATAATAAATATGTGTCAAAGTCCTATAGGTGTGTCGGTTTGATGCCCAAAGACAGGATATGAAATGTAAATATACTCATATTTCTATTTAAATCTGACTTCCTGTTGGGCTACGTCCGATACCAAACCATGAAAATATTTAAATAATATTTTTTTTATAAATGTCATCCGTATTATAAATATTCTAACCATGCAGTATAATCTGATAAGAAATAATTTATCAGATCGTCAACTCCAACTCAACACGGTGTCACAGGAAGATCCTCTAAAAGAGCGGAAACACACATCAACCTTCGTCGCTTAGTGGTGGTCCAGGGGTACTGTCGGCGATAATTTCGTTAATTTTTATCGGTCGATAATGTTATTCAAACCCAAAGATTAACCAACGAGAAACTGTACTACTTCACGCAGCAACGGCCATTAGCATGCAAGCTAATAATTGGTCACCGGAGATAACGCAATATCTTCAACGGTCTGGAAGTGTTCACCAGGTTAGAAGACGACAACACTGCTTACGAAAGGGGGGAAAACGTCTACTAGTCTCAAACGCAGCACAGCATTGGCTAGCTAGCATGGAGGCTAAAAACAGAAACATTATTATTGGGTATATAGAAAAACGTTGGTTACTATATTGGTATCAATCATTGGAAACTATCGATGATCGGTACGGGTTGAATCTATATCATGCAGCTCTATAGACACGGTAAAAATCTAGTTTCGGAAAGGTAGCGGTAATGAACATATTGCGTCATTATGGGAAAAAATGATGTATATAACTGTAACCTGGAGCTGTGTTTTAGCCAATCAATTCAGTTTGGTGTGTTCTTCAATCAACCGAATAAAACATTGTTTTCCAAAGACTGGGTCGCAACCCTCCGGTGGGTCGCAGAGTTTTTTTTTTGGGTCGTCTCGCATCATGTTTCTCAGGAGTTTACGAATAATGTTTATTGACATGGGTCGTGAATGTTTGTTACTTTTAAAATACGGGTCCCCAGAAAAAAACGTATCAGCAGTCCAACCTACTGCAGCGAAGCGTGCTGCGTCGTAAAAATTGATGATTGTTTCAAACTTCTCGTCTTCCTCCGTTTCACAGTAACTGTTGTACAAGTAAACACAAGTTTCTGTTTGATTTTTTTTTTTTTGGTTTTTTGTTTCTCAGGCTGGAGTCTGGAGTTGGAGAGACAGTAGCTGCAGGTCTCGGACTAGGAGGGCGGGGGTCGTACTGCGCGGCACGAATGGCAACACGCCTTGCTGTAGTACCAATGGCTGCACAGGTTGACCTTCAGGGCCAGGAGGCAGTTTGCGGAGGGACGATCTTGGCAGCTCTCATCTAGGACACAATCAACGTACATTACCGACTCAAATATGAAATCTGTGAATATTTCACTCAAGCGAAGAAGCAAAAGATGGGAAACAGAAGCAGAGTATTAGGGTAGTATTAGAGTACTGTTACCTGGAGGCTCAGTGGGACAGGCCTGCAGAGTGCACGTCTGTTTGGCCACCGGTTTGGTGAGGGGGTCGCAGCCCCGGACCAGCTCTCTGCCCTGGTAGCACTTGACGTCCCTCATCCTCACACCAACGCCACAGGTTTTTGTGCACTACAGGAACGAAGTTAGTCCGATTTTGCCAAAATCCAATATGCAGACATTGTCCGAAACACTCAATTTTACGATTCCGATATCAACCGATAACGATATATGCAGTGTCCCCCACCACCCTCCAAAACTGCGGTAAATGTCCTCAGGACCTCACATACAATTCCAGCATATTTTGGCAAAACCCATTTGGCGAAATTATTGAAGTATTAATTATCGAAGGAAAAAAAATGATAACGAATTTTACAGAAAATACATAATTATGCTAATATCGGGATGCCCGATAATATCGGTCAGCCGATAGTATCGGGCATCCCGATAATATCCCAATAATCTTCCCGATAATACCGATAATATCGGTCAGCCGATAGTATCGGGCATCCCGATAATATCCCAATAATCTTCCCGATAATACCGATAATATCGGTCAGCCGATAGTATCGGGCATCCCGATAATATCCCAATAATCTTCCCGATAATACCGATAATATCGGTCAGCCAACAGTAATAGACATTTTTAACAAAAAAAGAGAAAGAGCTAAAAGTGTGCAGTGTGGTAATCTCACCTCTGACCAGGGGGTGGTGTACCACTTAAAGCAGGGCCTCTCGAAGCAGGTGTCGTCCTCCTCGGGTTTTTCACTGCCTCCGCAGGCGTCGTCATCGAACGTCTGAAACTTCCCCGCACTTATCCCCACGCACATGACGGTCCTGCTCTTCATGCCGCGGCCACAGGTGGTGTTGCACTGGAGTAAGAGAACACATATACACAGTTGTTGCCGTCGTGGATGTGAGGCGTTGACGTCGACAATAAAAAGGATAACAGTTTCCTCACCCTCTCCCAGTCTTGGCTCAGCCAGTGTGGAGCACAGTCCCTCTCTCCGCACGGATGGATGGCTAGCGGCTTATTCTCCACGGGGCACTGGTTCTCAGGGACCACACGTCCGTCCGGAGCCTTACAATAGACGTGACGCAGCATCTTTCCCTGGCCACACGAGCCGGAGCACTGCAGTGACGGGGTCAAAGTTCAGAATACAGGGGTCAGGAGGAGATGGTGGCTGAGTTTATGTACTGTATATATATATGTGTATACTGTATATATATACATACATATATACACATACACATATATAAAAATCCAATATGCAGATATCCAAACATATATATGTGTGTAGTGACAGGGTCAGAGGTCAGAATACGGGGGTCAGGAGGAGACGGTGGCAGAGTTTATGTATATATATATATATACACATATATACACACACACACGTGTGTGTATGTATATATAAATGTATACATATATACGCACACATATGTATATGTATGTATGTATATACTGTATATATACATACACATATACATATATGTATGTGTATATGTATATAAATATATATGTATACAAATATATATGTATACATATACAGTATGTATATGTATGTGTGTGTATATAGGTATATATATACACACATATAAACATATATACACATATGTACATATATACATATATGTATGTATGTATATATATATATATATATATATATATATATATATATATTTTGTTTATGATATTTTTCAGATGCGTAAATCAACTAAAACATTTTATATTTCCGCCAGATTGAGCTGCACACGTCTGGTTGTTTGATTAAACACAGACGTCACTGACATAAACAAATGTACTTTTAACCAGGATTATCAGAAGATAATAGAATCACAGAGTCGTGCGTGTGGCCCTTCCATAAATTACTATTTGAACTTCTGAAATAACATTAGCTTTTACTCAGCACCTGGGACGTTTGCCTTTACTGAGGAAATAAATCTGATACAAACGTTTCCAGACGCCGTCTTTGGGTGTAACATCAGAAGCTACATTTGTCCGTAGGCCACGACAAAAGTCGTAAATTCACACCGCGTAGTACGGACAGCTATGAATCTCTAAAATGGGAGAAGGACAACATTTAAGCAAAAGGAATTTTCTGCGAATAACTCAGACAAAGTGCTGTAATAACAGACTCTAAATCAAATTAACCGTCTTTTCTTCACTGTCTGCGCTGGAGGACATAAAAAACGGTGCCTGGAATGACAGAAATCAGTAGGAACCAGCGGTTGGACTAGCAACTACGTGACACGAACTACGTGTGTTTGAAGACTCACGGGTCCCCATTCGGACACAGTCCAGTGGCGTTCACAGGGAGGTCCGGTGCAGTTCTTCACCGTCGGTGGCTTGGTCATGAGGTCGCATAACCTGGTCTCATCAGAGCAGCGGACGTCGCGGCTCACCTGAGCTTTTTGACCACATTTAGCCGGACACTGTGTGTGTAACAGAGCGGAAAATAGGAACTGATTAGAAGATGAATTCTCGCAGACTGATAAAAATGCAACTTTGAAAAGTTGAAAATTATGCTAATTATATGAGTTGCTGGCACCAGCGTTCTACATACAATCCCCTGATTATTAAAATAGATTAATAAAACACGCTGCAATGCTGCCATCTAGTGGCTTTCACTCCCAAATACAGCCATTTTCCCCCCAAAACCATTTTTAGGTCACACATAATTTCCGTGAACCCCAGGCATTGCGTTATCGGGTTTTAATTATCGGAGAAAAAAAACTGATATCGATACTTACAGATGTTACATAATTATGTTAATATCAATATGCGATATTATAGGACATCCCTAATTTTAACCTTGCAACGCACTTTAAGAAATAACACCTGGAGTTCACGAATTATAAGAAGAATTGATTCAAATTGATTTAAAAATAAATACAGTGGTATCTCGTTTATCACGGTAGATCGGTTCCAAGGCCTGGTGCGAGAACTGAATTTCCGCGAAGTAGCGACACCATATTTATGCACAGTAAAATGATGATGACTTTTACTGCGCAGGCGATGATGGATTTTACGTCTCTCCAGAGGGTGGTGCCATTTCTTGGGGCACCACTTCCACGGTTTCCGAAGGTGTATCTGTAGCAGTAGTAGTAGGAACCGGCTCTTTTTTTGTTACATTACGACATTACGATCAGCAGTAGCTTCCGCTGCTTTTTTTTCCCAGTCGAAGACTAGCTCGTAGGCAGTCACGACGTTGTCGATTTTGTTGCAAAATTGGACCGATCAAACCATATCGTCTTCCCATTCCTGAGACATCTCTCGCAGATCCAAATCCTGGGATACAGCATATTTTATATATAAGGTTTTTGAAAACTCGCGAACTTGTGAATCCGCGAAATAGCGAGGGACTACTGTATTCACTGTACAAAGCTATAGGAATTCCACTGTGATAAGATGTAAAAGATTGATTTACGCTCTCACCTCGCTCCACTCAGCCACCTCCCACTGCGGTCCACAGGCGGGACTTTTGCACGCTCTCCTCTCCACAGGCCGTTCCAGGTCAGCTATGGTGCAGAGGTCGCTGTAGACGGAACTGTCCAGGCCCGGCGAGAGCATCTTCCAACAGCGCACTTGTCGAAACTGGAACCCCTCCCCGCAGGTCCTGGAGCACTCACTCCAGCTGCTGGCCTCCCACCTGAGCACCAGGATGATGTCATCCTACTGTAACTGTTACGATAACTGATGTTTCCAGAGGAACCGTACCTGGGCTGACATTCACGGCCAATACAGAAATCGTGGACCGGCTCAGGTCTGGTCAGAGCATCGCAGTACATATCGTGCACCTCGACGCCGTCATAGCGGACGCATGAGACGAAGGAGCGAGACACACCTGGGCGTTGAGAGTCAACTGGTTAGCTAGAGAAATGTCAACGGTCAACACATCAAACTACGGTACTCAAATTTTTTTTTCTAGGGAGCCATATTTTAAAAGTCACAAACCTTCGCGACCCAAGTCAATAGACATTATTCGTAAACTGCGAGAAAAATGCGAGATGACGACCCCCCCAAAAAACAAAAAAAACTCTTGGGACCCACCTGAGGGTTGCGACCCAGTCTTTGGGAAACAATGCTTTACAGGATCAAGCTGATCACTGGGCCTAATATGACGGTCGACCTAGCCTGGTAGCTACACAACGTAGGCCGTGGTCCAAATTTGGTTTAAGAGTACTAACCTTCCTTCTTTTTAAGCACTGGTTCTAAAAGTAAGGGGCGCCCCCTCTGTTCATATTTTATTTGTAACCGTGGGAAAATTGCACTATCATTATAAATTACTTAATCTTATTTTCGATGTTTGCATTCTTTTTAGGGATTTTGTCGAAAATAAACTTCAGCGTAGCTGTAGCTGTGAACGTGATGCCGTCAAGATACTCGACAGCAATCAGGGGGGCGCTGCTAAAAAAAAAAAAGCTAACCAGAAATAAAAAAATAGATACCTGCAGTACCTGTTTACTCCAGTAGAGAGTTGGATTTACCTATCGAGCACGTCATGCTGCACGGCTCCTGAGACGAGAGTTTCCAGCGATACATGTCGGCGGCGCTCATTTTCTGGTTCTTCTGATTGAGCCTGTGATTTCCCCTGACACACACACACACACACACACACACATACACACAGACTCAGACACTGTATAAGGAAAGGGAAACTGTGTGTGGCAGAATTTATCCCCGTGTCAAACAGGAATGTTGGTGAAAAGGGACTGGAACACGAGGCGACGCGATTCCACGAGCATCCCTGAAATTCCTCAACGCTGCGACTACGTAGATGAACCCACTTTTACGGCAGCCCACACACTCCCTAACTCGGATTCACAGCCTTCATTCTGGCAGATGCACTTCTTCTTCTTCTTCTCCTTCTTCTTTTTTACGTTGAAAAACATGTAGACATTCTTGTCATAACACCGGTCATTCTCCGTCTGCCAGCAGCCAGACATTTATTTGAACATCTCAGCTTCTTTGAGTTATTTCCCCGCCGCCGTGATTTTCTCCCCAGGGACGACTGCATTCAGACTTTTCCCTTTCCTTCATGTTTTTTTTTTTTTTTTGGGTTTCTCCGTCAGGATATATCACCGCTGCTCCCGGAGTACGGGGCGTGTAGTTGATTTTACAGCGTCTGGCCGCAGAACAGTAAAGGCAGCGTGAGTTATGGACTCCCTCTGCAGTCGGTACAGTACACTGACAGTACCTGTGCACCTGTTTTATCGCCGGTCCTTTCTAGCTGCCATACTTCCTATCGGTCAGTCTGCCTTTGTGATTTACTGCCCCCTGTCTGTCTGTCTGTCTGCGCTTTGATTGCCCCATTGCTTAACTTTCAACGGCTTATCTTTCAACAGAAAACAGGTTTCCATGTTGGTACAACGTTAATGATCGCAACTAACAGCAGTTTCCGTTAAAGACTTGCGCCACTATACTATAGACATTCATGCTAATCTTAATCTTTAGCATTTTTCCAAGTCACATTGGGCCTGGAGCCAATCCCGGCAGACGTGAGGGAAATTCATGGAACGCTACAGTGGTCCAGTCCACGACTGGGTCACGTACAGAGACGAGCTAAACGACCTAGGCTCAGTTTAGCTCGGTCCGTTAACCTGATCCCGCAGGTTTTTGTTTAGGATGTTTGGGGGAAACCAAAGGTCTGGGAGCAACAAAGATGAAGAAATTGTACCAGTAAGACCGAGCTTCAAACTGGAACCGAGGAACCGTCGAACGTGCTAAAGCTCGACGAGGCTAGCCAGAGTGCAGGTGTTTACGATTTACTATGACCCAGGTTAATGTCACATTCAAGAGTCAAATGAACATGGGAGTAGTTGCGATTTTTTGGGGGGGAGGGGGTCAACAGGGTTGGAGCAACCACCCGAGAAAGGTACCTCGCTACCACAGTTATCAACAGTGTTTACCGCAAAAGTTAATTAGTTTAAATTAAGTTAAACCTGCTGGGCAAGATCGAATCCCGGTTAGGGCGGTTGGTACCTTCCAGTGGACTCACCACCAGCAGGAAGGTTTAGGGGTGTTGGTACGGTGCAGTGTGGTTTGGGTGGCGACTGCTGCCCCCGCGACCCGGGAAATTAATCAGATAACATTTTAAAGTACATAAACGATAATGTATACATTGCGGGAATTTCGTTTTTCACCTGGAGCTTAAAATACCATCTCAACGCCCAGTCTGTACGTCCGACATTTACCTGGTTCTGTTGGAGCGGCCGGCGCTCCTCCTATCACCCTGGACCGTCTTGTTCTGGTACAGCGCGTCTCCACTCTCGTTGCTTCTGTGGCCCAGTACGAACTCTAGTGTGTCGTTGAGATCGGCCTCCTGGTCCAGACTGCTCAGCTCCACGTCCGGCGGCCCCGCCTCCGACGAGAACAAGGCAGCCCCCTCAGTCAAGAGCTGATTGGTCGAAATGTTAATAAGCAGGTCGTCGGGGTTGAGTCGGCCGTTCAGCA